AAACTTAAAGTTTAAAAAAAGAAGAGATAAAAATGAGAAAAGTTAGGAAATATGGTAGGAGAAGAACTATATATTTATTTAAACAAGATGGTTAGGGCAACGGTCCCAATAATCTACATCAGGTTTTTGAAAATAACAGATAGTGGGTAGAATTCTCACCCTAACTTTATATACTGATATCTGTGAACTAAGTAACTACAGTGAGGATACCAATGTGTAATACTAAAACCATGCTTCAAATACTTGCCATTTTGGTCATCTAAATGCACACTGCTTCTAATGTTATACCAGTTATTGCTATACCCTCTTTAAAGTAATTTTTTAAATGTAGTAAAAAAAAAAGAATTTTTTTCACAACAGGTTTGCTGCAACATCACAGGTTTAGTGAAAACAACCAATACATCAAAGACAACATGGGAAAGGAAAAGACTCATATTAATATCACCTTCATCAAACATATGAACTTCAGCAAGTCCACCACCACTGGCCATCTGGTCTACACATGTGGTGGTATAAAAAAAAAATTGAAAAATATGAGAAGGAGGCTGCTGAGATGGGGAAGGGTTCCTTCAAGTATGCCTGGGTCTTGGACAAGTTGAAAGTCAAGCGTGAGTGTAGTATCACCACTGACAACTCACTGTGGAAATGTGAGACCAGTAAGTATTATGTGACCATCATTGATACCCTTGGACACAGAGACTTCATAAAAAACATGATTACAGGCACATCTCAGGCTGTCTGTTCTGTCCTGACTGTTGTTACTGCTGTTGGTGAATTCAAAGCTGGTATCACAAGAATGGGCAGACCAGTGAGCATGCCCTTCTGGCTTACACACTGGGTGTGAAGCAACTAATTATTGGTGTTAACAAAATGGATTCCATAGATCCACCCTACTACCAGAAGAGATGTAGGGAAATTGTTGAGGAAGTCAACTCCTACATTAATAAAATTGGCTACAACCCTGACACAGTAGCTTTTGTGCCAATTTCTGGTTGAAATGATGACAGCATGCTGAAGCCAAGTGTTAACATGCCTCGGTACAAAGGATGGAAGGTCACTCATAAAGATGGCAATGCCAGCAGAACCACACTGCTTGAAGCTTTGGATTTCATCTTTCTACCCACTCACCCAACTGACAAGCCTTTGTGGCTGTGCCTCCAGGATGTCTACAAAATTGGTGGTATTGTCACTGTTCCTGTGGGTCGAGTGGAGACTGGTGCTCTTAAACTCAGCTTGGTGATCACTGTTGCTCCAGTCAACATCACAACTGAAGTCAAGTTTTTTGAAATGCACCATGAAGCTTTGAATGAAGCTGTTCCTGGGGACAATGTGGGCTTTGACATTAAGAATGTGTCTGTCAAAGATTTCAAGCATGGCAATGTTGCCAGTGACAACAAAAATGATCCACCAGTGGTAGCAGCTGGTTTCTCTGCTCAAATTATCCTGAACCATCTGGGCCAGATCAGTGCTGGTTATGCCCCTGTAGTGGATTATCACTCAGCTCACATTGCTTGCAAGTTTGCTGAGCTGAAAGAAAAGATTGATAGCCGGTCTAGTAAGAAGCTAGAACATGGGCCCAAGTTTTTGAAAACTGGTGATGCTCTCATTGTTCACATGGTTCCAGGAAAGCTCATGTGAGTCAAGAGCATCTCTGAATACCCCGTTCTGGGTCAGTCCGCTGTTCACAATATGAGACAGACAGTTGCTGAGGGTGTCATCAAACTGTGGACAAGAAGGCTGCTGGAGATGTTAAGGTCACCAAGTCTGCCCAGAAAGCTCAGAAGGCTAAATGAAATCTCTAACACATGCCACCCCATTCTTAATCAGTGGCAAAAGAACGGTCTCAGAACTATTTCTCTGAATTGGTCATTTAAGTTTAATAGTGAAAGACTGGTTAATGGTAACAATGCATCATCAAACTTTCATAAAGAAAAGAGAATGTTTTGTGGACCATTTTTTGTGGCAGTTATTAGTTTTTTAAAATCAATTCTTCTCAATGGAAAGAACTTGAAGAAATATTTGTTACAGAATTTTGAGACCCATTAAAATAAAGTTTAATGAGCAAAAAAAAAAAAAGAAAAGAAAAAGAAAAGAATAGACAAGGAAAAAAATAAGTCATAGGATTTTCCTGCTACAGTGCTGTATAGTTTGGTTTCTAAATTTCTGTATAAAATTGTGTATTTTTTTACATTCTATAGGGATATAAATTTTAGAATATCTATGGTTGCTGGAAAATAGCAGTTCCATGTTGTGTCTAAGGCATTTGATATTCAGACAGATAGTGATGTTGTCAACTGCATTTGTTACAGTGTAATAATATCATTAATCTTCTCTTCTGGATGATTAACAACTACAGTTTGCAGAACAAAAATTATAGAAACAGCGGGGCTACAAGGATAGAGAGTATTTTGGCCCTAGAACTTCAAGGTCAGTGAGGATTCAGGTCATAAGAGAATCTGTGCTGTGACATCCTATAAATCAGATTGTGCAAAATTTTCTGATCAAGGAGATTATGGTGCCACAGAGGAAAGTGATCGATGGTGTAGAGTGTGCCTAAGGAGAATTAACTAGAGAGAAAAAGTTCTCTCAGGCTTTCATAGAGAGCAAATTGGTCAAGAATGGCTGTGACTCATCCACATGGCTGACACTCACAACGGATTTATAAGGTGATGTACATGGTTACAGTGTATATCTCGAGGGCATCTGACTGATCTTTTCAGAAACAAAAGTTACATTTTAAATTATATATATCTTACATTTACTTGGCCTTAACCATCCAGCAGAAAAACATAATGAAATGGTATAAAAAATAATGCCATATTAATATGCTGAACTGTAAAAGGCTAAAGACAACAACTTGTGACAATTGCCAGTTCTGCTAATAACCCACTACTATTATAAACTATTGGACTACATTGGGTTATTTTGCTGAATTCAGGTAGCCACTGAATTTACACTGGTTTCACATATGAAATGGTCCTTTAAAGATTTCTCCAAATACATCTTTTCTAAGTGCAATGGAAAACCTATCTCTGAAAAATAAAACAAAACAAAAAAGGGGGATATTTTGGGAGCCATGAAGCTAGGAAATCTGTCAAATATATGTAGGTAGGTCTTGGCTTAGTGCCTAAGGAAAACAAGCTACCTCACTCCTGAGATGAACATCCTATCTGGTTAAGGTTTACTATCAGTTGCTAGGCATCCTAGTGTCATGAGTTACTAACCTCACAAAAGTGTAAATAAAAGAAAGGTTTTTTATGAAAAAAGGGAGAGGGAACAAGTATGTATACATGTATAAACAAGGGAGTTAGGACAGATATACAACTACTTTCTCTTAGTTCACTGAGAATAAAATTTTGTACTGATATTGTTTAGACAAGGTATAATATCTGCAACTTATCCTCTGAATAGCTAATAAGACAACAATATGCAATGCATCAGTTATTATTATTATTATTAGTTTATATTTTAGGGAAGGGTCTACAGGGTGTTTAGGGCCTCACCACTAGATTGGACTCATAGTGATCAGCCTGCTTGCAGCCTCCCAAGAGATTATAGATATGAGGCACCACACCCAGTTTCAATTGCTGTCTCAGCACACCCCAGGCACAGGGCCAGCATTGCAACAGTGTATTTTTTTGTGTGGTACTGGGGACTGAACTCAGAACCTTGCACTTGCCAGACAAGCACTTATTCTACTGAACTATCTCCCTCGCCCCTCAAATGTATTAATTACTGTAAACATCCTACTAACATGTTTTTAAACAGTTTTATTGCTATTTTGTCTGTTTTTCTCATTAAAATGAATTAAAAAATTGAAAAAAAAGAGTGGAATTAAATCAGTTCTGAGTTTAGAGAAGACTTGTTACAAAGGGAAGTAATCTTAAAACAGATGGAGAAATGTGAAAAAAAATCATATGCCAAGTTATGGCACAGAAAAAGGATTTTCATTTAGTTCATCTTTGCTGGACTATCACATGTGAGGTTCTGAAAGATCTAAGGATAAGTTACAGCAGTTTTCATGTAAACGTAGCTGGGACTTGCAAGTGAGAACAATGGGGAATTACACCAGGTACACTAGAAAGTAATGGTGATCAGATTTGCATATTACAGTGTCATGAACAAAGACATTGTGATCAGCGAGGTTCAATGTAGAAGTATATGTAAGCATCAGTGAGATCTGAATTATGGAAGCTATTCATGAGGATTTGAAAGAAAGAAGAAACTGAGATGAAGCCCAGATTTTTGCATTATTGACTGGGTGGAAGAAAATGCCATTTGGGAATGCAAAGTTGCAGAAAATTTGACGATAATAAAATTTGAACACCTTAATTTGGAAGGATCTAGAGGATATTCACACAGATATGTCAAATAGTCATTAAGTTTTAAATGTCAGGAGTTTAAGAAAAAGATATAAGTTGAGGATTTGATATTCACCAGTATTATCTGTTAGTTATATTTATATGTTAAGGATATTATAAAGGTTAATCAATATGCATGTGGAGGTTTATATACTTGTCATTGAGTTCTTTGGTGAGGACATGGAATGTCTACATACAAAGGTAAACTTAGACTGTTTTGACAAGTATATCTAAAATAAATTATAATTACCACTAATGCTTGCCAGGGGTTTTATTAAGTGGTTTGATTTATTTTCTCATGTTTATCACAGATCTTTGATAAAGAAGAAGTTATTCCTATATTTCACCTAAGCAGACAAAGTAAAATGGTATAAATTGCCTAAGTCCATACAGTAAGAGTGGGGGAATTCTAAATCCTGTGTTTAATGTTCACATATCATTTTCTGGTTTGGGTTGCTTCAAAACTAAATGCAGGTAACATTGCACACAAGCACTTTCTGGCAAGACTAAAACTCCACCCATTTCTCTGGCTAGGAGCCCAGCAGGTGATGACAAACAAGCTCCTTGGGAATTGTGGGTACTAGACTTGCAGAACAAAAGATTTTTAAACACACCTTTGCTCAGTCTGTTCACCTTTGTGAGAAACTTATGCAATCCTCAAGCTCCAAGACCCTGAGGAATCCAGGAAACTATGGCACCTCTGTTCATTGTCAGATTCCGGTTGCTGTTCTTGAGGATAATAGGCTTTCTCATAGGCTTAATAGGAGAAGCTGTTCGTGCTTTGGAAGGCAACAAATTTGACTCAAAGAGCATTGGACCAGTGACTGAACCTTTGCTTTTGCTTTCTGGGGTACAACTCGCCAAAATGATTCGACAGAGGAAGGTGAGCATACAAGAAAAGTTGATTCTGAAGACAGTGGAAGGGACACATCTTTCAGTGGGCAATTTCCATTGTTTATTGGAGGGGAAGGTGGTAATATGTTTAGATTGATTTTTTCTGCTTATGTGACAAAGGACAGGTAATTATTTGGGATGAAAGGAGACTTCTGGAAGTTCTAGTGTGTGTCCTCATATACAGGGCATTTGAATTGGATATCAGTTGGATTGTTTTGATGCCCAAAATAGTGCGTCAGTATATTTGTTCAGTTTGTGCTTAAAAAATTGTGCAAACCTCAGTCAGGAACAGGTTTTCAAACTAATTAAAGTTTTTTCCTCATTTCCTTCTCTTTTCCTTTCCTTTCCAGATATCCCTGATGTTTTGTGGCCAGGGATTTTCTTTTTCATTTAAATGAACACATGGAAGAATAAGAATTAGAATTCAATTGATCTAGAATAACATTTATTTGGGTTTCAAATTATTAAGTGCATAATAAATGTGAAATATTGAAAGGAAAATGTTGAGAAAGATAGTCCCTTTCACCAGTCTTTTGAAGGGTAATACAAAAGCTGCAGGAAGGAAATGATGTAAAATGATTTAGACAAATACGCAGAAATTTGTAGAGATTCTGAATTTAAAGATTTAAGTCCCTAAAAGTGTTGGTCTCTAGAGTTCTACTGGCTTTACTATTGTCTATTTCTGCCATATGTATTGTGTATTTTCTAGAGATCTTGGGCTATAGTCTAGTAGTCTTTGTTTATTCACCTCTTGACTTTATTTCTTCACTTGTTTTTCTCATTGAATTGTTCCTACAATCTATAATGTTACAAGGTAAAGCGTAGATATGCAATACGTGCTGAGTATCTGAGCATGAATTTCCAAGTGCATGAAAGAATAATTGTTTTTGAACACTTAGTTACTGTTTGATAATTCCACAACATTTCTTATTCATATATTTCTTCTCAACCACTTTCCACTCATGTGGTTTATAGTGGAAAGATAATAGATTCTGAATTTTGGATGCTTTTTATAGCTAGGTAGTCATGCATAAGCTTTGGCATACAATTACAAATAACACATGTTTATCTGGCACATAGTAAGTTGTGGCCTAGTTATTAGAAGGAATGAACTCTGGAGCCAGACTCCTTTGGTTGTGTGTAATCTTGAAAATATTGCTTATACTTATATGACAGTTGTGCTATTAAAATGGACTTGATTCTAGGATCTATTGAATCTACTTTATGGATTTATTGTAAAGATGAAATGAGTGCATATGTAAAACTCTTCAGACAAAACTTGTGATAGTTGTGCTTATATTACTATCATCAGGTTTTGGGAAATGATGACAATTATTAATATACTTATGCTTGTCACTAATAAGATACTATTTAAATATACTTTATATAAAAGTGTTCTGAGAGGGAGAAGTGAAGAGAGTACAGTGTTCTATATATACTAGCTTTCTTTCAGTTTCTGTTATATTTAAGAGGCTGTCTAACTTATCTTTTATCTTTTCTTCCTTTCTCTAGAGAAATTATTCTCAAATGAAAATTTTGGAAAGGTTTTGGGGAACTTTTTATTGTCACAATTGGATAAGGATCAGGGACACTGTAGAACGTCCTCAAAATCACAGGATAGCCCTCTCCATAACAAAATATTGTCTGGATCAAGTTGTCAGTAGTGCCAAGGTTGAGAAATACTGCTCTATAGCACTATTTTAGAAAGCTGGATTTTTTCTGGTATGACGGTTAAGGCATAAGAGAAAACCACTGTGCAATAAAATTATGATTTCTTCTACTCCTTGTGGAAGACTGGATTGGTCCCTGTTGAAACGGGTCAAATCTTTGGTCACAGGCTCCACAGTCACAGCCTTTGAAACCTTTAGAAGGAAAGGAGAATGCTTTGTGGATCAATTTTTATGTGTGTCTCTGTGTGGCACTTTATAAGTTATTAGTTCTTAAAATCAATACTTTTAATGGAAACAACTTGACCAAAAATCTGTCACGGAATTTTGAGACCCGTTAAACAAAGTTTAATTAGAACAAAAGGTAAAATGGTTAATATATGCATAGATTTCATTTTTTGAATAGAATAAAAAATAATCAAAAGCATTAGAAACTATACAGTATTACACTAAGCAAAATTATAGGAATTCAACGATGGTTATTATATTGCATACTGTTGCCATCAAATTAGTTGATCGGATTGCCAGATATTAGCATGCAAAATTCTTCAAAAATTATTTAAGAAAACTAAAAAGGGGAAGGAAAAATTTTAAGCATTTACCACTCCTTTCAAAAGAAAGAAATCAACAGTACAATTATCCATACTACTCTCTCCTCTCTGTCTCTGTCTCTGTCGCTGTCTCTGTACCTTTTCCCTTCCTTTCTTTCTTTTCTACTGTCTCTCATTCTAGTTCTTTCCTTTTGAAGAGGTTCTTTCCCTTTCACAGTATCTAGTGTGAAAATGATTACTTTTCCTGCCTTTTGTTCTCTCTGTGTTATCTGTTTATAATACATGTCGCTGAGAAAAAGCTGGGAACAGTAGCTGATGCTCGAGGGTGTTAGTATTCAGGAGTACAAAGGCACTCTTTTTATGATTATTAGAATTTTATTTATAATTGTCATTTAATGACTGTACATGTTTATGGGGCATGTCGTGAAAGGGCAGAGGAAGATGGCAGAAATTAGTCAATGTCTCCCAAGTTACAGTTTGATAGGAAGATTAAGTGAGAGTGTCATATTGCATGATTGGGTTAATATAACTTGTAATAATCTATGCAGTTTTATTTTTAGATTTTTACAAAAATGCTTGCTCTTGATATATAAAGTTGTATTTAATGAAGACATTAAAAAATTATTATCTAATTTTAAGTATTGCAAATATATTCTCTCCTTTAGTCTGACTAAATGAATACAAAGAATAATTAATCAGCATGAAATTAATCTATAGGAATTTATATATAAATAGTTCAAGAATTATGTTAGCTGGCAAAAATTATAACAGATCCATAATATAATTATTCCATTTATGAAGGAAGGAAAATAAACAAGGAGAAAGAGACAGAGAGAGATAGAGAAAGACAGAGAGAGAGGAGAGAAATTTTTACTTTTCATTTATGCCTAACTGTAGTAAATGATTTTTCTAACCATATACATTTGCTTTTAATTTTTTGTGACAGTAGAGTTCAGTGAAAAAATTAAGCACATATATACAGATTCAGTTGTATGATCTTAATTTCCATGACCTAAGTGACACACGATGGCCTTTGTTTATAATACAGGGACATTAATATATTTCTAGGAGCATTTAATTGAATTATATATATATATGTATTAATATATACATATATATATGTATATATATATGTTTTGACAATTAGGTATTGTATTATTTATTTTTTAATTTAAGAATGCAAAATAGTGATAGAAACAAAAAAAATTAGAAATGATACAAAATTTCACAAGACAAAGTAATAAGAATTCAACAATTGTTGTTGTATTACATGATGCTACCTTCAAGTTAGTTGTTCAGATTACCAGATATAAATTTTGGTTAAATGACACTTTTTGTGTGTTATCTCCAATTAAATCTGTTTTATCCATATACTTTCTCCAACCTGTTATGGCAGTAGGGCGAGATTTGAAGAATTATGGAGTGGTGTATATTGGTGAGATGGCTGGATTCTATATCTGAGCTGAACAATTCAGGTTCTTTACATCGGAACTGTGACTGCATCACACTAGAATCTAGTATTATGGGGATTGAAATCCTTGCGTAAGGATGCATTTCCAAAAATCTGTTAATTACTATTAAGTGCAAAATTCTAAAGGGCAAATTGTAATTAGCCCAAGATAAAAAGTCTATAGTGTTTTGTTTTAATACTTACAATCTATCATGTATCTATCATTATCTCTTTATGTTTACCTATTAGTCTCATTGGTTATATGGAAGACTGTTTGTGAACTAGTAGAAACTTTGAAATTGCATTTTATATAGAGTTACTAGTACTATTGGATTATGATGAATTATCCAGTTAACTTAGCCTGTTTCTAAAACCTTTAAATTTTTTTTTACTTTGTTAAAGATGTGCTCTTGTCTTTGTTTTTGATTTATGAATATGGAAAATGTTTTCTCTGTCTTTACATGTTTATTTTTCATGGATAAAAAACTTTATATATGATATATAATATATGTATATATATTATATATTATATATTGGCTGTATATTAAACTCTTGGATACACCTTTTTTCAACTACTTTTATATCGACTTTGGAGAGACCCATATGGGCTATTCCTGTGCTTGCAATTCACATCAAATTATTTTCATACTCCTGTTGGAGTTTACTCTTTATACATTCACTTACTTTTGAGAACAAAATGATACATTATTTATTTTTTTCTGTATTTTAGGGAAGGGTCTATAGGGTGTTCAGTGTCTCACTACTAGATTCCACTCATAGTGATTCTCCTGTTTACAGCCTCCCATGTTTGGGGATTACAGTTGTGAGCCACCACGCCCAGTCTCAATTGCTGTCTCAGAGTGCCCCAGGGACAGGGTCAGCATGGCAAGCCTGGGGATCAAAACTCCGGCCCCTGATATATTACTTATATAACACCTTTTTGCCATTTAATCTTATTTTTTCTTACACTGATCAGTATTTTACAGAAAAAAAGAATAATCACTTAATGTTAAACTAAAATTGTCTCTTCAGAATTCTGTTTTTTCAAAAACATTTTAAAGAGCACAAATTACAATTAAAATAGAAAAAATAAAAGCGGTACAGAATTTCAGTTAGAAAGCAATATGAATTTCACAGTATTTGTTATAAGACATAGTGTTGCCTTCCAATCAGTTATACATATCACCGGATATATGCATGTAAAATTGAAGAAAATAAAAGAGAAACAAGTATATGAGAAATTAATAAGAGACAATGCAAAAACAATTGAAAAAGGGAGGTGAAGCAAATGAAAGCATTAACTGCTTATTTTTTGTAAAGGCTTAAAATGTACTTTAATAAGTTGATGCTGTATTACTGCTCCATTTCTCAGAAAAATACCAAATTTAATGTATAAGGGAAAAATCAAACATGGTACATCAATAAAAAAATGTGCAGCATAAGTACATAAGATGGGCAAGACTAAAAGCTACTTTCAGACCTTCAGCATATAGCAATCCTATTCCCAAGATTGTACTAGGCCTATCAAGAAAAGCTGTGAACAGCAACATCATAAACACAAAAAACGTCCTATCTGGGATGTCCTTACCCAAGGAAAACATGGAGGCAAGTTAACACAAGATTCTTTGGAAGATATACTAAAATGAAAATCTCTATGAGAAAATGTCTTTAATACATGAAAGGGTAATATATGGGATATAACAGAACCGTACATAGGCTGTCTGTGGCCTATGTGGACATTTGCCTGAATTCTCATCTGGGAGCAAATGGAGTAATGGGGCTAAGGTCACTGAGAGATGTTTGGGTTTTTTGTGGTATATGTGGCAGTGTCTCTGGGAGTGAGGGGTGTGGAAAGCAAATAAAACACGATGGACAAAAAATGCTCAAGATCAATGGGACACTAAGGAAACATTTTGTCATGTTTCCCCCCAGCCTTCAACAATTCATTATATTTCAAATTTTAGGAATGTGTCACACAGGACCATTTAAACAAACCACACAGAATTTGTTAAATATCACCCCTCCCTTGCCCTCTGCCCCCAGCATACTCCCTTAGAGTAGTACAGGCAGGGAAGACCTAACTATTGGGAGGAATCCCTAACACTTTCTTAAGGTAGAATTCTGACTACTACAAAAGAGTTCCTTCATTTAAGAATTTCAGGAAACTAGACACCAACTTTATTAGTAGCGGTGACATTTGTTTGGAGCAAATTCAGCTCCAGGAGTTGAAAGTAGGAGGGGTTCCACCAATTGCCCAAATGCCTTCCATTGTAGCAGCTTTGCCAAACCGTTCAATTGGTGGTGTCAGTTCCAAGGTTCCATCAGTCATCATAGTGGAAGAGCTGGGGCACCAGCTGGTACCAGAGCAGGAGGCATGACACCTCTGTTATTTATGTCCATAGCACCTCCCATAGTCATCTGGCTCATCACTATCTCTTATTCTCGCTCATCAGGGAAGGTTCCCTTGAATCCTTCCTGCTGTCACCTCAAAAGCTCCTCTTGTTGCTGCAGCATTGCTTCACTCTGCCTACAATCCTTTCCTGCCTGACCTCCAGTCTCTTTCGTTTTTGGATTTCTTGGCTATGCAGCTCTTCCGTTCTCCGAAGGTCTTGGCGGCTCATCAAATCCTGAATCAGTATAATCTTGTGCTAGTGGCGAGCAGCCTCCATATCCATCTCCAGCTGCTCACGGGCTTCCTTGATGTTGCGGTCCACTTGATCCTGCTGCTGCTTCTCCATCTCAGTAAACCCCTTCCAGCACATGGCATATTCATACTCAAAGGAGCCAGGCTGTGCAAATCGAGGTGGCTGTTCTCGCTCCTTGTGAAATTCCTGGTTCTTTATAACAAGATTTTCTGAAAGTCCTTCTTCACCATCTAACTTGTCCATACAGTCCACAGTCACAGGCCAAGGAAATGTGGTTAGTAGGAAAGACCCTTCACTGCATGTGTCTGGAGATTTCTGAACAGCTGGCATCCCCTAGCACTCAAAAATGCGTTTTCCTGAGGGTCTTCCCCAATCATCCAACAATGACAATAGGCTTTTCCACCTGACTAAACACAGAAAAAGACTTCTTCCAGTAGTTCATTAGACATGTACTGAGGAAGGTTTCGGACTGTAAGGGATGCACTATGGTAGGCAAAGCGCACGTGCAGTTGTTTTCCACGAAGAGGCATATTATCCAACTCACTTTGGCCAGGGTTCATGTTTCCAAGTGGATAAATTCAAAGTCATTATCCTTGTGAGTAAAAACTTCTTCTACTTTCCAATATTTCTCAAATACTTTCCTTATTTCCTCCTCAGTAATATCAGGGGGAAGATTGCCTTCAAAGAGGTGGCTACAGTGGGTAAATGTCTTCGCTCCTGGTTTCCTAAATTTTTTCAGGTCAATAGTCAAACCTTCATTTGGGCTACTGGCCTTTTGCCCATTTGTAAGTACTTGTGGTGTCAAAGGTGGCTGCTGCTGTTGTAGGTGATGCTGATGATTCTTCTTTAGAGGATGGCTCTGCTTCTCCAAGTTAAAGGTCTTATTGCTCTGCCTTTTTATACCCTCAACTTGATTGCCTCCTTCACCTATACCAGAAGTTCTCTCCATAGAGTCTGTTTCTTGCCATAGACCAGCAGAAATACACAGTACAGTTGTCCAAAATATCCTGCTTAAGTACATACATAATTCTCTTTCCCCCGACTCCCTTTCCTGTCCTTCTTCTCAATTCAGTAACTCTTTTCTTTTGAATAAGTTAATTCCCTTTTCCCAATATCTATTGTACTCTTCAGATTCCATTTTTCTTTCAGGTTCTCACACTAAACAGACAGTATGATGTTTGCACATGTGAGTCTGATTTATTTCACTTAGGAGTATGTTCCCTACTTTCATCATTTACTAAGAAAAGATTCAAGTTTGTCCTGTTTTGTAGCTGAATAATACTTCATTGTGTAAAATTCCACTTTTTTATTGATTCTTCACTTGAACATCTGTGTTGTTTCCAGGATGTAGCTATGACAAATTGTGCTGCTTTAAACATAGGTGCAAATATATCACTGTGGTATGAGGATTTCAGTTCTTCAATAAAAATACCAAGGAGTGGAATAGCTGGATTGAAAGAGTGCTCCAACCTATCCTATAAAGAATGGTTGGTTCTTCCTATCCAGGACCATGGAACACTTTTCTATTTTCTCAAATACTCTTTCATCTCTTCTCTTAGAGTATCATAACTTTATCTGTATGAAATTATTACATCCTTTGTGAGATTGATTTCTAAGTATTTAATTTATTTGAATGTTTTTGTGAAAGATGTGGTTTCCCTAATTCCTCTCTCTTCACCATGATTTCTACTATGTTTGTACCACATTGTGCTCCCAACAGCAGTGGAGAAGGGTTTCTTTTTCTTCACAATCTCTTTATCAGTTTTATGGCTGATTCCTTGATATTAGCCATTTTTTCTGTGGTGAGATGGAATTTCAGTGTTGTTTTAATCTTCATTTCTTGAAGGATCAATGACGTTGAACAGTTTTTCATACATTTGCTTGCCATTTGTATTTCTTTCTCTGAGAAGTGTATATTCATCTCAGGTGACCAGTTCTGAATTGGGTTTTTGAATTTGGGGAGGCTTGATTTGTTAAATTCCTTATATATTCTTGACAGAAGGCCTTTTTTAGAGGAACAGTCAGTTATACTTTTTCCAACTCTGTGCTTTTTCTTTTTACTCTGTTGGAGATTTGCTTTGAAGTGAAGAATCTTTCAAAATGATAAGTTCCCTGTCGTTGATTCTTTCAAGTATTTCCTTGGCAGTTTGTTTTTGTTCGTGAACTCTATACCTACCCCTATGTCTTTAAGATTTCTATTTCCATTTTCCTCCAGAAGATTTAGTGTTTCTGTTTTAATATTTAAATCTGTGATTCATTTTGACTGTAGCTTTGTGCATGGTGAAAACTATGGGTCTAATTTTAGCCTTCAACATGTGGAAAGCTAGTTTTTCTGGCACCATTTATTTAAAAAACTTATCTTTCTTTTTTGTTTACTTTTGTCAGAGATGGGTATTTCATTGCCATTTAAATATTGCAGGTGCGTGAATTCAGCAAAATAATCCAAGACACTTCAGTGGTCCATAACAGTAGTGGGTTATCTGTAGGACTGGCAATGTCAGAAATTGTTGACTTGAGCCCTTTACAGCTCAGCATATTAATATGCCTTTACTTTTCATATCTGGTTATTATACTTTTCTGCTGGGTGGTAAAGACCAAGATAGAGCAAGACCTATATAACAAGAAATGTAACTTTTGGATCTGACAAGGTCAGTCGAATTCCCTAAGGATTTACCCTGAAACCCTGATATGCAGTTAAATAGATCCCTTGTCAGTGTCAGCCATGTGGATGCGTCGTGGCCATTTCTTGACCAATTTTCTCTCTGTGAAAGCCTGCATCTTGTACTATGTATAAACACTACAAAGACAACAATACTCAATGTATTAATTAGTGAAACTGTCCTATTTATTGGTTTTGAAACTGTCTCATTGCTATTTGTTTCTCAATAAAATTAAGCAAAAAAGAAGAAGAAAAATGTTATCTTTCTTCTAGTGAGAATGTGTGGCTCATTTATCAAAGATAAGATGGCCAAGTGCATTTCCACTTTTATCTGCATCTTCTATTCTGTTAATTGGTACTCAAGTCTGTCTCCATGCCATTACCATGCTGATTTAATCACATGAGCTTTACAGTATAATTTCAAGTCATAGATTGTAATATCTCCTGCCTATCCTTTGTTTCTCAGGATTGAGTTTGACTTTTGGGTCTCTTGTGTCTCTAGTAAATATAAGTAAAATTTTCTCTAGCTCTGTGATGTGTATTAATGCCATTTTAACTGAGGTTGTATTGAACCTGTGCAAAAATTTTTGAGTATCTTCATTTTCACAATGTTCATACTTCCTATCAAGGAGCATGGAATATTGTTCTCATATCCTTTTCAATCTCTTTTCTTAGAGTATCATAATTTTACTTGTATAAATATTTTACATCATTTGTGGGATTGATTTCTAAGTATTTCATTTATTTGGGTGTTATAGTGAAAGACATGGTTTCCCTAATTTCTCCCTCAGTGTGTTCATTTTTTGTATAGAAAAATGGTACCGAGTTATGGGTGTTGAATTTGTATCCTGCTATGTTGCTGAATTTGGTGATTAAATATACAGGACTGTATTTTTAATAATTCTATTGAGAAACAAATAGCAATGAGACAGTTTCAAAACTGATCAGTAGGACAGTTTCAATAATAAATGCATTGCACTTTTTTATCACAGTAATTATTCATTGTACCAAATGCAGACATGACATCCTGTTCACAAACACTATTAGAAAAAATCTTCTCATTCATTTAATTAAGAGAATGTAGCTGTATATCTGTCCTAACTATCTTGAATATACACATACAAAATGGTCATTCATATGTATCCCCTATTTTTGTTTAGTTTTGTCAGAGAAGGTTATTCCATTGTCATTTAAATATTGTAGGTGCGTGAATTCAGCAAAATACTCCAATATAGTCCAGTAGTCCATAATAGTAGTGGGTCACCACAGCACAGTCAATGTCAGAAGTTAATGACCTGAGCCCTTTACAGCACAGAATACAAACATGGCATCACCCCTTTTACCTTGTTTTTATACATTTCTGCTGGATGGTTAAGACCAAGATAAAGCAAGACTTATATAACAATAAATGTAATTTTTGTATCTCATGAGGTCAGTCAAGTCCCGTCAGGATTTATCCTGAAACCTTGTCCCACACTTTGTATATTTTTTGTCACTGTCAGACATGTGGATGAATCACAGCCATTGCTTGAATAATTTACTTTTTGTGAAAGCCTGAGAGGATAATTTTTCTCCATGTGACTCTCCTTAGGCACACTCTACATCATTGATCACATTCTTTTGTGGCCCCATAATCTCCTTGATCAGAAAATTTGGGACACAACTGAGATACATGATGTTACGGTATAGGTTCTCTTATGTCCTTAATCTTCATTGATGTTGAAAGGCTAGGGCCAAAATGTTGGCTGATCTTGCAGCCCTTCTTTTACTCTAACTTTTGGTCTGCAAACTTACATTATCAACACTCCAGAAGAGACATTTATTATTACCCTAAAACATATGCAGTTGGATTTAACCTATCTGTCTAAATATCAAACATCTTAGGCATAACATGGAACAGGCATTTTTCATCAAGTATTGACATATTAAACATTAAGTTTGTAGAGAATATGAAGAAAAAAATTTAAAAAATAATAAATGTTT